AGGCAGCTTGCCTGTGGAGCTCTTGAAGCTTCTCTGGGGAAATGGAGAGAGGACCCAGCAGTTACAAGTCATGACACTGTAGTTGCACTGTCACAGGTCTCCAGCTGTCCCACTGCGTGACCATTGGCCGGGCCACTCCACTTCTCTGAGTCAAATAATGAGGACAACCTCACACACTCTGCCGGGCTTTGGCGAGGCGCTTTCTGAGCAGAGTGGGAAGGATGAGAAGCACCACACTTGTCATCTAGGGAGTACTCAGCAGTTGGGAGTTCTGCATGGCTTCCCAACCCAGCTGGAACATGGTCTGGGCAGCTGAGGCCTGGCTCATTCTCAATTAGTATAGCACTCATGTCTCTCATCAGTACCCTGCCTCTGGTAGCACGGTGCCTATAGCTAGGATTCTGAGTGCTTGCTTCTCTCTGCCCAGCACCAGACCCCAAAGTCCCTCTTTCTGTGACTCCTTTCCGTGGCCTTCAGCTTTTCCTGGCTACTGGCCCAGAGTTCCTCACATCCTCTGACTCACTTCTCTCCAGGCAGTACCTAAACCTTTTTTTCTCGGCCCTCACACAGAACCTTTGCCAAGCCCTGTTCATTTCTCCTCCTCAAGGTATAGGGCTTCAGACCTGAGGGCCCCAAATCCCACTTCTAACACTTTCCACCACTGTAACCGTGGACGAATGCTGTCATTTCTCAAATCCGTGCTTAGCCACCTAGAATATCTGGAACTGTGAGCAGACTCCTTATTATCCCTGAACCTCCATTTCCTCGTTTATAAAATAAGGATGATAATGGTTGTTATACTCGGGGATGTTGTAAGGTTAAACGAGACGATTCACATGAAGACCTTGGCACTTGCACTTGCCCAGGTTATTGGTTTTTATAAAACCATTCTAAGCCTCAGCGTCCCTAATTTCCCATCCCTCAGAGCTCTATGAACGTTTCAGGCCTGCTGCTTAGCAACACTTCAAGAACTATCCGTGGTTCCGCCACGCCCCCAAGTCCTTCTCCCACCAGTGCCCTTTGGGATGCAGAAGAGTTGCCTCTTCTGCCTCAGTGGCATCACCAGCCACCCACACACCCTCAAACTGGACCTCTGTGGTTAGAGGGGACAGTCTGCTCCCTTTTCTCCTCAGTCTCTGGTAGTGAAAAATTTCAGCCTTGAGGCTCAGGGGTTAAGAGCACTGGCTGTTTTTCTAAAGGATTGGAGTTTGAGTCCCTGCACACATCGTGACTCTCAACTGTCTGTAACTCCATTCCAGGGGATCTGATGCCCTCTTCAGGCCTCCTCAGGCACTGCATTTGCATGGTGCATTGATATAAAGGCAGGTGAAAATCCATACATATTAAATTAATTTTTAAAAATTGTTGGAGGTTACTTTTTTCATATTATATATTTTGATCATATTCTTTCTCCTCTCCCAACTCCTCCCAGATCTTTCCCACCTCTTTATTTATTTATTTTTTTATATCTCCCCATCTACCTTTTTTTTTTTTTTTTTAACGTGGCAACCTTACTTTATTGTTTTGATCTCTCTGGGTCCTGGCATTTGTTGTATCGATGTCCATATTTCAAGGCCCAACTCAAACATGCACAGCCTCACCTTCAATGAATGTTTTTATCAAGGAGGGAACAATCCATGCTGGGGTGATGTTGAATGGGACGCTAAGGGTGGGACAAGTAGGAGGGACTAGAAGTCCTCTGAATTTGGTGCAGATATTTTCTCCTGAATCTACGCAGTGACATTGGAGTTGTTATGAGGCAGGGCTCACTGGCTCTGCCTAGCAGAACAGAAACTTACCATCACTAAGCAACTGCGAAGGGGGAGGGGGCTTGGAAGCCGTTTCAGGACACGAGACTGGGAGGAACATAAGACAAAATGTCAGTCCAGTAAAATAGCACATGAGCAGTAAGGGAGGAGAGGGAGGCCAGTGAGACGCACTCCCTCAGAGTTAGGAATTACTATTCCACGGGTTTTAGGGTCTTAAAGCCCATGAGGATTTACGGATTTGTAATTCTATGCTATATAATACTTTAAAAGCAAGGATGTTGGGATTCCAAGAATTTTAAATCCCTATAACCTATGGTAGAAGAAGAACTTGAGCAATTTATGAGCTCTGCAGTGCTAGGAGCTTAGGACTCAAAACAAGGCTTTTAGACGGAACACTGGACATGCTAAATTACTAATTAATCCTCCTTGGGTTTCCAATCGTTCCTGACTTAACCCTTGGGACAGTGCTTCCAAACTGTCTTCCTCACGGTCTGGGGATCCTTGAAGGGATTTCACCAGAGAAAATGAGAGAGCCAGTTGACAAGAGATAGAACAACACGGGGTAGGGGAGATTCTGCAACCCCCCGCCTCATAGTCCACTGTGTGCCTTCCCTGGGGCAGCTCCATTTGTATCAAGTTTACATGTTAGTCTTTTGCATTCAATTCAGAAGAAAGGGTTTCTTGCTAAAGACTGTCAGGTTTTAGAACTTCTGTCCCAGGACAAAGGAACCTCAAATCTAAGCAACCACTTGACTGTGGTCAGCAAGCCACAGCAGACCTCTCTTGTCTTTTAATTGTTTATAAACACTGCCAGCTTTGCTCTGACTGGTAAACCATCAAATGATGACAAAGATTAACCCAAGAGGCCTGAGACATACTCGTTAGTTAAATAAATCAGTCACCATCTCCCTCAAGTCTGGACACAGATTTCTTTTATACGATCAGTAATTCCTAGAACAAACACTATCACTGTGACCACTGCTGTCTTGTGAGTAGTCATCCTATGTGCCTGGCCTGGGTTGTTTTCTTTATTCCGTCTCACTGAATCCACACAGCCCCACCGACAGCAACTGTCACCCATATCTTCATGACGAAGATAAAGAGAATGAAGCTCAGGGTGGATCAGTAACTCACCCAAGGTCATGCATCTGGCTCCTGGGAAATTCCACTTCACTTACCAGAAGAAACAGAATGGGCTGAAGGAATGAGAGGGGTCAAAGTTCAACTGCCTGACAGCCTTCTTCCAAGACCAAGGCTCAATTTTAGCCGATAGATGGCAGCAGTGCTTGAGTTTGGTGGCTTAACTCCAAGCTGGCCGTCCCATTTAGGGAAGTTCCAGCAAGGGCTCAGAACTGGAGCAACTATCTCAGGCTGAGAGAGAAGGGAAAGGAAAGGAGGCGCCATTTTGCTTTTCAATAAGATGCCATCAGCCTTTCCCCTCCACAGTTAAGGAAAGATTCAAGAAGGTGGGCAGGTGCATCGACCGTTTTGAGAACATCCAGGCAATTTTCCTTTATGATATTCTGAGCCCTCTTTTGTGAGGGGTGCTAGGCTAGGAAGTTGCATGGGATACCAAACACGGGTTCCTGCAAAAGTAAGGCGGAGGCAGATGCTCTCATAGATGAGACAGTGGGTGTGTGAGGTTATCCATCCTGGATTTGGGGGCCTGGAGACGCTCCGCACAAAGAGATAATGTGAGGTACTTCTATCGAATGACTGAGAGTTTAAAAGGCCTAGAAGAGTGGAAAGCCCTTGCAGGCAGGAGTTTAACACCACGGAAGAGTTCGAACGCATGCTAGATTCAAGGGTGAGCAAAACTAATTTTAAGGGTAGAAAGATGAGTCTGAAAAGACAGGCAGAAATTGGATGATTAGCACCAGGCATTGGGACCTACGCCTATAATCCCGGCAGTGGAGAGTTAAGACAGAAGGACTGCTGTGAGTCTGTAGCCAGCCTGCACTAGAAAGTGCCAGAACAGCTACGGATACATAGCAAGACCTTGTCAAAAAAAAAAAAAAACCACAAAAGTAAATGATTAAAGAATCCAGAATACCACAGTAAAGACTTGATTTGTGAATGTAGAGCATTTTAAAGTATGTCTGCATGTGCTTTCCTAAAAAGCCGCAATGCTTCATGGTAATCTGTATCACCCCCCCCCCCCCAAAAAAAGAGCAAACCATAAGGCTAGCTGTTGGTGAGGCAAGACCATGACCTGATTTGGTGGCCCGTGTGCAGACAGATTGTGAAACAGAATGCTGGAAGTAAGAAAATGCGTTGAAGAGTAATTGGGACAGGAGCAAACATGAAGGGCCGAGCTATGGTAGATACTGGGGGAGCCAAAGAGATACAACTGACAGGATTTGGTGGGTGCTCAAGTGTTCCTCCTCATATGTGACAGCAGCCCCAAGGACTAAATGAGAAAACGTGTCTCACCTTTACCCCAGTCCTCAGGTTGCCCCATGGGGGGCTTTCCCCTCACTTTTCTAAGCTGCCCTTGAGGTTTAATCAAGCCTGATTTCATAAGTGAACAGAAAAGGCCTGGCCCAAGGCTCTGTCCCCAGCATTGCATTCTCTGAGGAGAACTGTCAGCTGACCTCAGGTAGAGGTAGAGCAACGAACTAACCTCCACCTGTGGCTTCACAACACGGGCAGAGTTCAGTTAAGAAATCAGCACAGTTCCAAGAAAAAGGCAAACATCATTCCATTTATTTTTCTCCTGATTCATCTTATGCCAATACCCAGACTGAATGAGTAGCAAGCAAAGTGGATGCAGGTCCCCAGACAAGCAGATTCTCAAGAGGCCTCCTTCCATTCCATTCCCTTTCCTCAAGGTGCCCCAGTATTGCTTGGATCTGGTGTTGGTGTCTCTGGAAGTCAGCCTTTCTCCCCCGGACACTGGCTCACATGGCTACCTTTGAAAACTAGGGGATCAAAGGGCCCTGGGGAGTGCCTGCTCTCTTGTCCAAGGGCATCTCCTGTCCCGCTCTACTTCCTGAGGGCTTCAGAAATCAGGTCTTCCTGATACCCTTCCAGGTCTGAGGAATCTCCTACTGTTGGCACAAGGACAGCTCAGACAGGAACATACCAGAGGCCTGGACTCGCAGGCCCATCAGGGGAGCCAGGGTAAGCTAGACAGCTTGAGGACACTGGTTTCAGTCCAGAAAATCTGTGTCTGGAGACTCTTTGCTAATCAATGCCCTTGGAAACCTGTCAAGTGTAACTGGGACTGCTTCAGTTTGGACAGGTCAGGGGTTGGTCAGGGGAATGAGCTGTGGCCTTGTGTGGTGTGGCCTCTGGTACCCTCGCACACCCTTCTGGCCCTATTTCATTGACCTCCTCCTCCTCTTCGTCCTCCTCCTTGTCCTCCTCATCCTCTTCACTGTTGGAATCCTCATATAAGTTGATGGTGGCCTGGACAGGGAAATTCTGTAGTAACATCTCCCCAGCACTGTACAGGTAGTCAAAGGAGCGGGATTTAGGCCAGAAGAGCCTGTGGACAAAAAAAGAAACAGGGCCCCTAACTTAGGCAACTCTCAAATGTAGAGGGACCAGTAGGGCCAAGAAGGATGCAGACCCTTAGATTTAGTTGATAGCTGCAGGAAAGGTCTGAGAGGGAAAGGAAGAAGCAGCTTTGGCACAGAACCTTTACAAGTGTTACAAAATGGTCCCAGGAAGGCACGTCACCTCTGACAGGCCTACAGCTGTGGTAGAGGGTAGGGTCCCCCCCAGCGTCTTTCAATTCTAGCACTGACACCATTAACCTCTCCATCACTCCATCCCTTCTTTTCCTACCAAGGATTCATCCTTAGGGCTCAGTGACAGGGAAGTCCTCTGGGGAAAGTCACTTTGGCCTGCTAAGTCCCATGGTCTCTTTCCTCCTGAGTCATGGCCTTGTCATGAACATTCATAGCGCTCGTGGCTATTTGCCGCATTCTGAACTTGAACAACAGAGGCTTACCTGACAGGGTGATGGAACTCAGCCTTGGTGGCCTCAGCAGCTGTTGACCCACCAGCAGCCTGTCCAAAGCAAAAGCTAGCATGTGGCTTAACTGCCTCTCCCCCAGCAAGGGTCAGAGACCTGCAGGTTCCGACAATCTACACAAGACTCTAGGCATCTCTTGAGATCCAGCCACCTCCCAGCCCTGCCCTACAGCAAGGGGTCTGCCTTGGATCTGATTTAAAAACAAGTAGAAAGTGTCATGGGTCTTGTTTTCTTCCCTGACCCTGTTCCAGTGCCTGTTTGGAGGCTGTCCAGGGGACAGAGTTCTCTTAGAGGACAAACCATCCATGAAGCAGAGTGGGAGAGCCCTGGGACGAGGTATCAAGAGACCTGGATTCCAGCGCCAGCTCTACCACACACTGTGCGTCCAGCCCAGGTCCCTTGTGAGTCCAGCCCAGGTCCCTTCCCCACTCTAAGCTTTGATCTCCCAGTCTCGTTTGTCATGGAAACCTTGGCCCTGCCTTCCTCAGAGCTTCTGTGGGGGTAAAATGTTAGCAGAGTTGGCAAGATGCTGCCCCAGATCCACAGCCTTGGACTGGAGTCAGGAGATGTCTGAGAAGAACATGGCTGTGACCGTGCAGACAGGTCACAGGGCCTCAAACTCACCCAATCCACCAGCATCCTCACCTGCCTTGGTTGGTCATTTACGGAGGACAGCCAGGGTCTCCAAAGACAAGTTTCTCTAGGGCAAACAGAACAGATCAGTTGGGAGAGGAAGAGACCTAAACACAGGCTTCCTCTGATCACAGAAGTGGTCTCCTGAAAGCTTGGCTCACAAGCCATCTGCTCCAGAATATCTTTTGTCCCCTGACCACTGAGCCAAGGCTGTGACAGATACCCCTCATCTCTACTCCAACAACATTATCACTGCTCTTGTCCCACTGTTTTGTGATTGTCATTTGAGTCCCTTAATCTGAATGATGTGTACGGGCATATCTGAATCCTCAACCCCTAGTATGATGCCTTGTGCACAGGAGGGGCTTAACCGTTTGTTGGATGTGAATGTGACACATTTGGAGGAGAGAATGACTGTCGTATAGGGAGTGTCTTGCTGCCTACCTCCCGCATCAAGCGGTAGAGAACAGAATTCTGCCGTTTTCCTAGCTGAAGAAAGGGCTCGGAATACTCCTGGGCCCATCTCTTCTTCTCTAGACTTCTAGAGGCAAGGACAAGCAAATAGGAAACTTGTGGCATGCTCAGGACAGAGGCAGCACCCCAACCAAAGGCCTCTTTGGACTTTGTCCCTCTCACCCTGTGTCACCTGCCACCATCTAGGTCCCATAGTCCAGGTTGCATTAAGCCCAGTTTCCAGGACAACACTCCTCCTGTTCCCTTGGAGAGTTGTACAGACTAGCCCATGAGGGTCAGGCTGCTTGGCTTTCGGCTTTGACAATGGCCACTGTCTCTCAGTCCACTCCTGTCACCAGGGGTGATGAGTGAGGTAAAATATTCCAGCCAAAATGTGTAGAGGGAGGTCTGGGGCTCTTCGTTGTCTCCCCACTTTAAAGAGAACAGGGCCACCATCACCATGGGCATCTCACCTTCTCCAGGCTTCATCTCCCTAACCCTGAGTTCAGGCTGTCAAAGGCCAAGTTCCACTTACCTTTCATTCCCAGAAACTTCTTGTCCATTGATTTGTGCTAGGGCGGGGGCTTGGGCCAGGGCCAGGCCCCGGGGAGCAGCAGCAGGAGCAGCAGGGTCCATCCTTGGGACACCAAGGCAGACGACTGGAGGCTATTCCAGTTCTCAGAACCTTCAGCACTCTTGGCTATTCCCCCCTAGGGACCCTTTTATAAGCCCTGCCTTGACTCATCAGTTATTCAGGCGGTGCAGGCGTGGGGGAATGTGGGACGGTCGTGAAGATTTAGGGAGGGGGATCCTGGAGAGAGAGCTATGTTCTTGGGTGTTAAATCTCTCCCAGTTGAATAAACAGGGTCCGGGTGGAGGTGAGGGGTCTGCAATAGCTCCAAGTCAGAAAGGAAAACAAAGAAGAGGCAAGTTTCACACCATTTGTGTGAATTCCCCAGGCAGTATCAAGGCCCCAGGTGGGAAGGAGGGCAGCTCATTAGCTCCCAAAGGCACCCAGGCTTGTCTGGGACAGGGGGCTGGGTACATGGGCCTTTAGGAAAGCTGGTTCCCAGTGAGAGAAGAAGGTGCCAGCTCCAAGAACAGTGGAGGACTCACCAGGTATTTCAGCTCAAATCCCAAGCAGATTTGCCAGGTGGACCTGACACAGGGTCACTGCCATGAAGCATGTCACGTGGCTTAGGATAAAGAGGGGTTCTGGATGGAGCAGGTCCAGTCTCTTGCAGGGTAAACCTCAGGTCACCTTTCAATGCCTACCCACATCCTCCCCTCACTGCTCAGTTGACTTCAAAAGTGCCTAAAGCCCCCTTTGGCCTCGGCAGAGAGTTGTGTGGTGTGGGGAGCAGGCCCAGGGAGTTTGCAGGGCAGATTCCAAATGGCACAGCTCAGCTTCTAGTTTAGGAGCCCGGGTGCTGGAGGCTGGGAGGGTTCTGGCCAGCACTGTGCTGCCAAAGGGACCATCCCAGACCTCAGTCCTCTCACGTGAGATGAGGGTGCTGGCTCAGTGGTCCCCAAGGCCCTGGCAGCCTGAACACTCTGTGACAGGAGCTGGGTAATGGGTACTGACCTCAGCAAGCCAAAAGGTTTGAGCAGAGCGTTTGGCATTAGCCACCTTTTGGGCCTTAGCCAAAAAGCTTCCAGTTACAACAACTGGCAGGCACTTCATGCTTAGAGGTTTCAAAAATATTCCTCCTGACCTCAGTGGCCAGCACCTGCCTAGATTTAGTGTCTTGGATGTTCATCACAGCCTGGTTTGTAATGTTCAAAAATTAGAAACAACCTCAGTGTCCAAAAATAGGAAACCCGTTAGTTTTATTAATTGTGGTCCATCCTCGCAGCCACACACTCAGCAGACAGTCAAAAATCATGGTATCGATGCAGAAAATGTAAAAGCTGGATGCTAAAGAGTGTGACTAATGCGGTTCAAGGGCTCCTTATCCAGCTCCCACCTGCCAGCACTCTGCTTGAATTTTAGCCCCACTGTGATTGATCTGTACAGCAAAGAAAAAAAAAATCAAGGCGGAGTTGCGGCTATGGCTCAGCGGTGGAGCGCAGGCACAGCAGGGGTTGACCCCCTGTACCACCACCGCAGGCACAGCAGGGGTTGACCCCCCGTACCAGAAAAACAGTGAAGAAAACACCTTCATATTAAAATTGTCGTGGTGGAGGAATTCGTAAACAGCTCATGTATTCAAGAGTGAAATGCATAAGTTTCAAAACCATCCCTTAGGACGATCCCATTTCGATAAGGAAGAAATGTGGAATGTACAGTATGCACAGAAGAAACCAGGCTAGTTACAAGAAAACATGTTGCTGTTGTCAGCTCAGGGAGTAAAAGAGTCAGGTGGAGCTTGACTTCATTCTTTACGATTTTGGGATGTTTTGAAACAATTTCCACAGGTGAACTGATATTGTTTGGTGAACAAAAAGTAAAAATAAATAAAGATATGAAGTTGAGTGGGTATGGATTGGGGGTGGATCTGGAAGGGGAAGAGGGGTTGAAAAATATGATGCATGAAATTCTCAATTAATAAAAAAAGAATATATATATATGTCTATTTTAACTGATTTATAGAATTGTATGTATTTTTTAAAACATAAACAAAGAACATTTATTTGTGACGCAGAGAAAACTCTTGGAGAGATGGCAGCCATTTTGAAATGCCTGAGGATTAGACAGCAGTGAATTATACTTTTCTGTGTGACTTCAAAGGGCAAAGCTAGAGAGAGGCCCAAGGATGGAGCTACAGGAAGACTCACTTTGGCTCAATCAAAGGAAAAGTTTCGAACAGCTCAACCACCTCAGGGCCTGGCACTGTACCTGCTGTCCACAAACAGAGGTTTATTATATGAGATGAAATGAGCCCTGTGGAATGCGCTACCTAGGACTGGGCTAAGCTCTCTGAGGCTGAATTTTGTTAAGTTGGAGCTGGATGCTATATCCTGAAGAGGGGGATCCTGTGGAAATTTGCTAAAAGGAGAGAGAAGGAACTTGGAGAAGGAACAAAGCCAAAAGAACTGGGCTGAAGAGAGACAGCATGCAAAGCGGAGAGAGCCCAAGACATTCCGAGACCCTGGAATCTTTTTGACCTCTAGGTGACCTCTGACAGCAAGCGGGAGGTCAGAGGGAAAGGGGGAGGACACACATTTCTCTGGAGGTCCCAGGTCATGCTCAGCCTGACTTAGTCAAGTCACCCACCACGCCACCTTTGACCTTGAAATTGTATTCCTCCAGCCACTCCCTTCCCTCACCACAGCAGGCCTCACAGGATGCCTTATGCTCAGCTTCCAGCATCCTCTCCTAACTCGGACGCAGCCTTCAGCCCTGTCTCCACGATTCTCAGTTCTCCCTAGACACCTGCTCTGACTGCTGCCTCCTAAGACTCACCTTAGCATCACTCAGCCATGGAGGAGATGAAGGCATCGGCCCCTGTTGGGGGATGAGAGCCTGTTGCTGAACCAAAATATCAGAACCTACCCGTTCTCTCGTGTACTCAGTACAGAACAGGAATGGGGTGGTCAAAAGGATAGCAGGAAAGACCAGGATAAGCCAAACAGGGGAACTTCCAATAAAGGCAATGAAGATAACAACTAATTTCTTTACCGGTTGTAATGTGCAGGGTTTATCAGTGATGATTTGCCCAGATTTTCTGGGAGGAGAAGGTGTACTCTCTGAGGCAGACGCTTTGTTAGGCTTTGCTTGGCAGGGAGATGGGCTAGAATGAGGAAGGTGCTGTGGTTCCTGCCCCAAGGTGCTCACAGCTTAGAGGGTGGAGAAAGACAGACTTAATTAGCCTCTGCCAAACCTGAACCCCTCCACCAACCTCAGACAGGTTCCCTTGTCAAGGCCCCAAAGCAGCCTCCACGTTTCTCTGGGCCTCATTCCAAATTTCCTTCAGTTCCCTACCGTGTTCCTGCCGCACCCTTCTCCCTGCTCAGAACAACCTCTCCTCCTACTTCCCTGAGAAAACAGAGGCCTTCAAGCATGGATTACCTCAGTGCCCTGCCCCAACCCCCAAAACTGGCTTGCCTCTCCAACATCCTTCCCACCCTCCACCCTCCCCTAACAAGGGACAAGGTGCCCCTTTCGTTAAAGGCTAATCCCTTCTCTCCTGGGCCTTGGCCTCATCCACCCTCCTGTGGGCCCTCTCTCCAAGACAGTATCCTCTTTCCCTTCAGGAAAACCCAACTTCCCTATACCAGAGTATAAACCTCTGTTTCTGTGAGTCCCTAAAACAAACTCCCTCCCTCCTCACACTTCTCCCCCAGTCTGCTCTCCCTCGGTTTCTTTCTCTTTCTGCCCCCTTACCACCCTCTTTTCTTTCCTTCGCTCTCAAGTTTGTTGAAAGTAGAACCTAACTTCTAGACTTAGACTTTCCGCAGCTTCCCATTCACACTTCAGCCAAGGACAATTTGGCTCTGGTCCCATCATCCCAGCGAAAAGGCACTGACAAAGGTCACCAATGGCCTCCTAATCGCCAAATCCAATGAACTATCTGAACAGTAGCTCCTCTTCCTAGTCCATCCCCTTGCTAGGCGATGCCCAACAATAGACATTGTTGGCCAAGCAAATCCATCTTCCTCTCTTGGCCTCATGATCAACCTCCCCCTTCCTTTCCTTCACTCCCTCTCTCCATCTCCCCTTCCTCTCTGCCATTTCTCTCCTGGAAATTGAACCTCATAGTCTCTTTCTATTGTTTTGGATTTTTTTTAAGTCAGGGTCTCGCTCTTGTAGCCCATATGGGCCTGAAACTCGGGCTCCTTCTGCTTCTGCTTCCCTCTACGGTTACAGGCATGCTCTGCCAGGCCTGGCTCAATCTTTGAAGCTGACCTCTCTCTTCCTGTGCTCATTTCTGCCCTCAGTGGTCCTCAGATCCTGATGGTACAGTGATGTTTTCAACGGGTCACAGCAAACTTCACCAGGAGAAAGTTCACTAAGAGAATTTCTCAACAGTTTAAATGTATTGAATTCTAAACTGTCCTTCACTCTAAGGTTCTATTCTTTCTAGTTTGGGATGATAAAATGATCTCTTTTTCAAAGTGAAGGTGATAGTGAATGCTAGTTTATTTCATTAATGTTCCCACTTGGCACAAGGAAACATTAGTTTCTTAGTGTTGGTTTCATAAATATTTATAGAAGGAATGAAAGAACAAGAGCTGTATTTCCAGCCTGGAATTTTCCCAACGGGCATTTCAAATTCATTCCAAAGTTTAACGATTCTTCTCCCCCAACAAACCTCCTGTGTACCCACCTTGTAGTCAGCATCACATTGAGCCAGTCACGTGATCTAGAACCCTCCACCTGTGTGTGCTGTCAGTTTTGTTCTTTGCTGGCTTTTCCTCCTGGCTCCCCCAGCACATCCAGGCTTCCATTTGTCGAATGATGGCTCCTTCTGTCTACTCTCACCTGCACGTTGTTGGGTTGCTATAGAAGTAGCTATGGTTTCTGCATTGTTGAAGTTTGTCATTTGATGTTAGACTAATTCTTTTTTGTTTGTTTGTTTGTTTTGTTTTTGAGACAGGGTTTCTCTGTGTAGCCCTGAGTGTTCTGGAACTCACTCTGTAGACCAGGCTGGCCTCGAACTCAGAGATTCATCTGCCTTTGCCTCCCTGAGTAC